ATGGAAGCAGAGGTAAAAATGCCTGATTGTATTCACTCTTTGATTCAATAACTTTATAAAAGTTTTATACAAAATTTTAATGTTTAGGCAAACTCCTGATGTCCTGAAAAGTTTATGACATAGAATAAATAAGAGATTCAATTACACTTAGAAAATAATTTAATATTTATGTGTTATCATATAGAGTATATAAATGACAGGGTCCACACCATTTCATATTACAGTGATTATTAGTCTGCTTCTCTATGATTTTAGACTCTGTTTAAGAGTTTTCAAGTCTATGTTTATTTTTATTTTTTTCCTTTTTATATCACAGGCAGGATCACGAGACCATTCAAATCTCTCAATTCCTTCAAGAGCTGCTCTTCCTGCTGACACAATTGGTGTTGGGGATTTTTTGCCTTTGAAAGCTGAACTTGATACAACGTACACTTTCTTAAAGGAGACATTTATAAATTCTGCACCCCTGACATCATCTCACTCCTCTCCAGTAACTATGTCTGCTAATGCCAAAAGGCCAACTCAGATTGGATTATGACTTTATGAAATAAAAAAAAATGCAGGAAGAGTTAACAGTATAATTAAAATTGTTTTGAAGGGGGATTTTCTTATCAGTTGAATTTTGTTTCAACGCAAGTGGCAATGGGTTTTAAAAAATTGTGTGATATCTTGATGTGTGCTGGTATCTATGTCTCCCTGAATAATGAAATAACCAACTTTTTTTCCCTTTTAAGTTTTATTTATTATCACAGTTGCTCATTTTTATGTAACATATTTTTAAATGTTAAAGAATGACACATTTTGGGTAATTTCCTTCAGACTTAAAAAAATCAATAAGCCATTTTAGTCTCTATCTATCAAAGTTGTTTCATACTTGTCTATTTTAAAGCAGGACTGCAATGCTTTAATAGGATTGAGAGAGCTATTTGAAATGTATGCCAATGATTCCTGTCATTTCATGGCAGCCCTGCCATGGTTCACTGAGCCCCCTCTTCTCTCTTGTCAGCTCAACTGAAGACAAGCATTTAGTTGCAAACTTTAAGCAGGTTGTGCAAAACAGAAATGATGTGACTGCTTCTCCTCCTGCACAATAATGTCACTCCTGGTCAATGTGAGAAGGTCAGGTTGCTCCTTGTAAAGCTACATGATACCACTTGCCCATTTGAACAAGTTAAGTTAACTGCTGAATCGGGTCCCTGCAGGCATTGAAAACTCATCCTTTTATCAAGTCTGCGTTTGATAAGAATGTGGAACAATTGTGCTGGGAAGATTTCTGTGGTATGTTTAGGCACTTTTTAAGGACAGTTCCCGCACCAGTATAAGCAGGTAATGTATTTAGTATAAGCTGAAAAACTTCAAGATAATGGCTGTTTTGACCTTCAAAATAGGCTCCTTTTTTGTTTTTGTTGTTGGTAGGACCCAAGAGTGACGCCCATCTTTGATGCTGACAGAATTTAAAGCAAGGCCATTGCCCTGCATTTTCTGCCTTGTAGCACACAAAAGTAAAATTGTATGTCAGGCCGAGATGTCGGGGAGCTGACAAGATGCCCCAGTGACATTTCAGCTAGAAAGAGCAAGTGTCTTGCAACCAAGTGGTCAAATATCAAATAATAGGTCAAGCAGGAAGGAGCTGAGTTCTAACCACAAAGAGGTTTCTGGTAACTTACTTGACAAGCTTTTGGGCGCTTTGTGGCTTGACAAAGTGATGTTCTGTTGGGTATCGCTAGACAGACTGTTCTTTATTGCCTTCAGAAGATCAGACATTGACATTGATTAAACTCTTTAACCCTTAAAGGTTAAATCTTAACAGTTTGCATCATGGTAAGTGAAAAACAAAAGAATATTTGTAATATGTATATGTTTTTGTATTAATCGTTTAACTCCCGGTGATATTAACTTCTGATGTGAACTGTAGTTTTTGACAAAGAGTTTTGATACAAAATCCATATTTTATATTATTTTTCATTATGGAGTTCATTATAGATCAATTAGAATATAACTATGTATTATGAAATCTATGTTGTCATCTGATTCAAACATACCCAACTTCTGAGAATGTTTTTAATTGGCCTTGGTAAATAAAATTTGTATGCTAACTATTTATGTTGTTAGCCAAAATAGCTAAGTGATTTATGCCATCTGAGGTAACACACCACTGTCCCTGGTATACTGTGTAGCACAGCACTGTTTCTTACAGTACTGAGCCAATATACATAGCTTTATATAAATCCTTAGAAAGCAGTTTATGTGGAGTAAAATTACATCTTTAACCAAATTTCTCTTAATTATTTCCTTGGATTTCTTTTTATTAACCATTCTGGGTTACGGAATATGCCCTGTGTAATGTAACATGCATGAAATTCAACTTGCAAATTTATTGTAACATGGAAAATGCTATTCATTGTTTTTATCTAGATCATAGAGTAATTTCTGCACATTTCAAAACTTTTTTTTTTTGCCATTCCATACAATGATTAAGGTACTGTCCATACAGAAATTGATATACAGCTTTTCAGTTCATGTAACATCATTGAGCTGCCAATTCTCACACTATAAAGTATTACCTTATATCACTTACTTACATGTCTCTGTTTGTGTTTGTGTTGTATCTGTTTCCAGATCCTACTAATTTAAGAGGGACAAGAACTTTTATCAACTTAGCTTTTTGTAAAATTTTGCCTTAATTTTACTATGTGAATTGGATAACACCAAAAATAAAAGTATATGTCTCTCCATATATGTGGGTATCCGATTTTACAAATACATTTTATAGAGTAAATTCTGAACTATAAATACAAGATTACTAAATCAAAGCATGTCACATTTTTCACCAACTAGATGCTAAAGGTCATAGAGATGGAAGTATGAGCCTTGCGAGTGATCATTACTATTCACTACCAAATATAATCATTTTTATCCCATAAGCGTTTTTCCCCAGAAGTTAAAACCAGCAGGAGGAGAAGATTTAATGACATCCCATGGAGATCTGAGAAACTCGAGACTGCTTCTGAGCAGTTTAGTGACCAATCGCTGCATATTTGAGATCTGTGTTGTGTTGGCAAAGACAGTTGCTCTTTACCTCCTTCAAAATGATGTATAAAGTAGGCATTTCTCAGGAGAATGACTTCAAATACTTTTGTGGGGGAAAGGAAGTTTTACTTTACACCATAGTATGTGGATTTTCTTACTAACCTTGTGTAATCTAGAAAAAACATCTATATCATCCATCACTATCAAAAGGATTCTTAAAGTTACTATTTTGATACCTAGGTTGCACTTATTTATCCAGGATTTACCAGCGCCTTTTATATAAATATTTTGCAATGACATAACACAAATGCAAAGAGGTATAGGAAATTGCAAGATTTGCTAATTCAATGATAATTTTATAATACAGGTGAATAACCTTTTAAATAGTAATAGAATAACTTTAATTTACCAAAAATCTGACTCTTATTAAACTTAGCAACACTATTTTATCCACATTTATAATATATGCTGTTATTGAGTGCTAATTGAGATCAGTACTATTTTCATCTTACTAAATTTACCAGTTATGCCTGAATTCATTCCATAGACCATACTGAACAATAGTAAATCAATCCTATTTTACTGTGCCCTTTTAATTGACAAGTTTTCTAATATAAAATGTGGAAAGTAAATAACATTTATTGAGCAACTATTCTATGCCAGCCATTAGAACAAAACTCTAACGTTCTGACAATAAACCTCTAGAGTAGGTAATTGCAATACCATTCTGTTGAATAACTGAGCATCTAAAATGCTAAGCATTTGACTACCTAGGATCACATAGAACCTAGTAATTAGTAAGCCCAGAACTCCAACTCCAAAGGCCACACAATTTCCACTTTGCCAGGCCTGCCTTCTAGTAATAATTAGCATTTTTTTAAAGAGGAGAAAAATAATTTTAAGTTGTCCTAACCAGTTAGGAGTAATTTTGAAAAGTGTGTTTTGGTTTGAAGTCTAGATCACTTGTCAGTTGATTGCATTAAGCAAAACACATCCATTCATTCATATGACTAGTAATGGGAAGAATAGTGAATGAGGTTTGTACCATCTTTCAAAGGAACTAATACCCTTCATTATGTTTCCCACCGTCTCTAGCTTGAGCCAGGAGACTAAATAGATACTCTGAGACAGACTCTCAGTTTAAAGCTATTGATGGTAAGCCAGCCTGAGCAAGCTATACATTCCCAATGGAAGTAATGATACATGCTCAGTAAAGCTGATCAAGAAACCATTAACTGGGCCGGCCGAGTGGCGCGATGGTTAAGAACTGGCTTGGGATGCCAGAGGGCCCCAGTTCAGATCCCACATATGAAGGCCAGTGACACTGCCCTCTGCAGCTAAGATGGTGAACGGCAGCTCGACCTGGAGCTGGGCTGCTGTGAGTTGCCCGCGAAGGCGTAGGCTGCAGCCCCTGTGGCAGTGGGTTGCCATGGGCTACCGTATGTAGCCAGCAGCCAGCGTGAGCGGCCANTTATAACTAGACTTATTATCTCAGCAACATTGATTTGCTGGGAATCTGGAAAATTCTGACATACAATTGATCACTATTTTTCTACTATTTATGAATGTTGTAAAATAATACCTATCTGCTTTTCTGGTAAGATTGTTTCATGTTAAATATTAACTATGAGTATTATATATGAGTGTTACTTATGGCTTAAATGTATAGCTTCATCACAATTTTAATTCTGTTTTCTGGTACTTCATTAATGTGTGAATTCTTACGTTTGATTTCCAATAGTTTCTGGATACCAGTAATGTTTTAAAATATGTGACAAATTGTTTTTCTGTTGCAATCTGTATTTTGATGCACGAGTTCTACACACTTACAATGGAGCAGTATTTATTAATATGGGGTGGTGGCATTATTATTCAAGATAAAGGTAACAAGCTCATTTCACTAGCCTTTTATATCTCAGTGTGCTATTTTTCTAGAGGCCACTAGGATTGACTTCAGTTTCTTTGTGCTATATTTGTCCATTAAATAAGGCTGATGATTATTTTAAAACATAAATATCCATAGTTCACTTTATATATTTTTTTAGATTTTCAAATGAGCATTTATTAATGCCATATTAAATGAGACATGGTTAAGGGATACGCCTCTGTCTGTGGACAATTCCCTCCACTCTGTTTCCTCAGCTGGGTACATCCTATGCCTTACCAGTTTTTCACAATTATTCAATCTCTTATAATGGAACAGTAGGCTTGCTCAGAAGCTCAGAATCTGTTTAGAAAGTTGTGGTTAACAGAGTAAAGATCACAGCCAGTGGAGAACCTGCCTTGTTTTAAACAAGCACAAGGTGAACTCATGGCTTTCCACAGAGGGGCGGGGCTCGCCTGGTGCTGGTCATGGGCCCTTCCGAATCATCACCAGTGACATTTGCTGTGGCCTCCTCAGTGACTTCTTCCACAAAGCTGGGGAGTTTGATTCACCATTAGCAGTCAATTTGAAAGCCTGTATATTCTCCAAATATACATGGGTGGGTCGATGCTACATCAGCAGTGAAGTCTAGGG